GACAACAACAAAATATATATATATATATATATATATTATATATATATATATATATATATATATTCATATATATATATTCTGTGGCACTTGCTGCGATACAAGGAATCTCAAGGGCATAGTGTAATGTAAATTAAAGACATAAAAGGGGGCATATACTATTTACCTTTTAAGTTTAATTTGTTAAGTTTTAATAATTTTCCTAACAAACTGATTCTTAATTCAAATCCACTTACTCAGGCTCTCTCCACTGCCACAAATCCATATGATCCACCCAGAAGACTGCTGAGGCACTGGCCAAGAGACTTACTGTAGCTATTTGTTGTGTTATTTTTAGTGTATTTTTAAATTTGCCTTTATTTATATTTTTACTAGTTTAAAAAAAAAATTGCCTCTGTTCTTTATTATTCATATTCTTTCTTACTTGTCTTTTTGTTTTGGTCTGTCCTCCTTAATATCACATATGAATATGATAGAAATATGTGTATCTTATAAATAAATAAGATTGTATAATTTTTTTATTTGTTTCTCTAATGTAATTTCATGATTTTTATTTTATGACAGGCCTAGAAACGAAAATCTAACTTTTATTTTTTATCAGTTTATAATATAATGGGAAGTTTAATTTTTTGTTATTTCAGAACTAAAACTTTTTCCATGAAAATTTGTAATGAAGAGTTTTATAGAATTTTTATTTTTTTTTAAACTTTCACCTAAAAGTTCTGTTAAAGAAATTCATTTTTCCAAAAAGTAAATTTAAAAAATTTCAACTGTGGTTTATGAAAATCAGGCAATCCATTCAAGATTAGATTATATCTATAATCTAAGCTAAATTACAGCTTATTTCTCATTTATTTTAAGTACATAAACAAATCAAAGTTAAACTTTTATGTTAAACCCAGAATTTTATCATTAAAGGTCTTTAATGTTAATAGATATAAATATAAATAATTGTATTTTGGCTGTGTAATTCATTCAAAACGGATAAACAAGAATTATATATAACTTTACGGTATTTATTGGTGAAATCTTTTCAAGGTATTAAAGACAGGTTAATGAAATCTAACTGCAAAATTTGTTGTTTCTGTCCTTCCTCTTCATGATTGTGCTTGATCTGACTGTTGTCCTGTTTGTAAAGTTATATAAATATACAGAATATTATAAATTTAAACACATTGGGAGCTACAACAATTGTCAAGATTAAATTAGCTCCTTGTGTACCTAATTTTGGTGCTCAAGTGTCTCATGTGATTTTGTTAGGTTTTGTTTTAATAGGACAAAATTATACACAAACATTGAAATTCAACAACTATTTATTACATATATTACAGAGGATAAGTATTTATTAATTATAACAGATTCAGATATATAGTCAAGTCTCAGCTAGGGCATATTCCAAAGAGGTATTAATATTTTACACACATGTACAACAGCATTGCCTGAGTTATCTCAAAGAAAGCTTATGCAGAAATTTGAGAATCGAACTTGGTTAATCTCTAACTGAGGCCATTGAAGTCAGCTAGTGCACAGACTGCTAAGAAAGGATATTCTAAGGTTATCTTTTATGGTGGGCATGTTATGGTTGAGAAACATTATTGATAACAAAAAGTCGCTGTAGTAGTCATATATATGGTATTCTTGATAAACGTAATATGGTAAATGTATTAAGGTGCTGTTTTTTTCAGTAATTATATTGTTTAAAATATTTATTAAAAAATAATACCAATAAACAGTTTGTTGTTTTAATGTATTTTTATGCCATAAAAATGATATTCGGTTTTATTAAAAAATATTAAAACACAATATTACAGAAAATATTTCTATAGTTTTATATTTTAAAGAAGGTGCTTTGATATTTTTATTTGTATGACAAAGAGGAATCAGTTTAATTTTTATTACATTTCTTACAAATTTTTTTTTTTATATCTGTTAACAGTAATATATATAAATGCTGTACCACTAAAACACATGAAGGATCTTGGGTTCACCACTATGTAAGGAAGTATTGTTTCAAGGCCAACGGTAGTGCAGGGAGGTGATTGTGCCGGGATCATGCTCAACCGTCAGCTGATGGGGTGGAAACCATGCTCAACCACCAGGTTTTTTCCCTTAATTATTTTTTAAATTAAGACTACCCACTTTATAGAGGCTGAGTGTGCCATGGCTGATGAAGCAGAACAAATAATTACCTGCCACAAGATGATTTCAAACCCGGGACCTTCAGCTTAGGAAGTCAGTCCCCTACCGACTGAGGTACCGGCTAGAATATATAGTAATAATTTTTACTTAACAATATTTTGAAGCAGTAAGAATAATTAAGTTATTTATTGAATACTTGATAGTTAAACGTTATATATATATTTGAGGAAGGAGATGGTCCGCCAACCTTTCAACATAACTTCGTTTTAGCCCTGAAGAAGACCTGCAAAGTTGGGTCAAAACGTTGGCTTGAAATAAAATAGTTTTTTCTCTATTTTAGTCTTTTTATTATTGCCACCCCGGACCATTTCCTTCCCCAAAATTAAATTTCTTATGTTAGACCACAGGTCACCAATAACATACGTTTTTCTTTTATTTCTTTATTTGTCAACGTCTCGAACAATTTTCATGATTCTGTAAACAAATTTTAATTTAATTATTTTCCTTTAAAATATTTTGTTTCAAACAGTCTGTTACATATATATTCCTTATTCTATTTAAAATATTGTTAGTATATAACATAATATTTTTTATTATTTTGTGTTAAAATTAATGTAAATTACCTACTCATCGTGAACCATTTCATAAAAATAAAAAAATTATTAAATTCGTCATAATTGTATAATTCCTCTGGTGAGCCATCCTTTCTTTCATGGAATGTTGTTTTGATTTCTAAAAGTTATATATAAATAATTAAATATAATGTTAATTTTTTTTATTTTTAAGAAAAGAAAAAAAATAATATAATTTGATCTTGAAGTATGTACCTTGCTTTAGAAGACATTGAGTCTGCTGTTCCTCTACAACGCCTTCATTCAAAACTGGATTTATTTTTATTTAGGAGTGGGGGTGAAGGGGTTAGAATTCAATTGTTTTATTGAAGTCGTATTTCTGTATTATATTTTATTTTTATTTATAGTGCTAGCATAAAATATGTTAAGATTGTCTACATCCATTTATTGATTTACTGATTGTTTTGGATTTTTCATAATGAATATTGATTCTATTATTCTACATTTGTTAATATTGTGTTCTCTATATAGAATTGACGCTGTACCAAAATTAAAATTATGTCCATTATTTTTGTTGTGTCGTGATAATCCTGTCGGCAGTTTTTAGACAACCAGGAACGTTTATAAAATTCTTCTTAATTTTTTTATTGTTCTTCATTTCTCTGCTGAAATATTGTTTTCCCTTATGAAATTGTATTCATTGATAAGATAAAGTTTAATTCATTCACATGATGCTCGGTAATTCTTAGCTGCAGGAACAGATTTCAGAGGTCTCTGATTCTTGTTTAGAAGTGAGGTCTCTCGTTCGTCAGTATATCAGTATAGATGTGAAACTCCTACTTGATAGTTTCTCCATACTTTCAAGTATCTTATGAATATGATCCTGAACTTCATTCAGCTATTTTGTGTTCACCACTCAGCTCCTTTCTCTTTAGTATGAGGATAACCATGTACCATTAGTGGATTTAAGGGAGATCTTCAGGCTGAAGCTTCTCCACTCCACCTCCCAAAAAAAAAATTACAATATTTTTTCATTGGTCCATATTTTTTCTTATCAGCCATTTCAACTAAATATTTAAACAATCATATTATGTCCTCTTAACGTATATACTTCAGCTTCTCGATCGCTATTGTGTCACGAAAAAATATAAAAATGTTATTCCTTAAAAGCATTATTGTCTCTCTAATGGTCATAAAAAAAAAAAAATTGAATTCTCCTGAATCCAGTACTTCATAAATAACCATAGGCCGATTTGGGAGTACCAGATCCACTTTTAATGATCCTCAAGTTGAATATGGAGGTAATCACAAGAAATATTGAATCGTCATATATGATGTTCTATCTAGTCCTTGCTTTTGGAGAGTGGAACATGTGCAATTTGCTGGAAGTGTTCTATAATTCTTCTTCTGTATGATTTCAACTGTTAACCTAAGTCCCCAGATAGATGAAAGATTGAACTCTTTCAAATCTATATTTTCCCATCAAGGCGTATCTCGCATCTTCGTAATGCATTGTTAGAGTGCAACTGTACTTTATCTTTACCTCATTACGAGCCCTAATTGTGCTACTGCATGTACTTACTCTCTGGCTCTACAGATCTTTGTGGCCCTTGGCCTTCTGGACTGTATCCTTCCACCTGCCAAGGTCCTTAGCAGCGTTCCTCCAATTCACGACACCCAGCTCGGCAGCATCTCTTGCTACCTCGTTCTCTTTTTTTTCAATGATTGCCATATCCAGAATCTTGGATCTCTTCGCTCATTCTAGCAATATGCCTATCACAGCCTGCCTGTTTTTATATAATTAACTATATCTTGATTTTTCAGTATGGCTACAATTTCTGTATTACTCTTGATCTTCCACTTTCCATCAATCTTTCTCACAATTCATCTTTCAAAAACTCAGTTTTTGACAATATATCAATAGTGGGCACCAGGATTCTGACCCGTAGGTAACAACCAGCTTGATAAGAGTATTATACAGCTGTAGTTTGGTCTTCCTTGATAGAATTTTTGATTTGAGAAGTTTCGGATTCACATAATTTTTCTTATTTCCAGCCATTATTGCTACTGGCTAATCTTGTTTTAAATATTGATCAAGGAGCTATTGCATGTTCCAGTGCACAAATTGTCAAGGTATATTAAAAATGTTCGTATCAAATATTTGCCTGCTAGCTATCTTTGTTTAAAGAACACCTTTTTACTTTTCCAACAATTTTGAAATAAATTGTAAAACTCAAAAACTGCTTATAACGGTAAGTTTTTTTTTTTGTTTTTTTTTATGCTTTACTCTTGGCTCTTTTTACTTTGTCTTCATTTAAATTTGAAAATAAATTCTGTTTTTCAATTTTAAAGAATATTATGAATAAAACCAAATGAGATTTCCACAAGTTTTATATTTCTTGAATATTTTTATTGGAAAGGATCTGATTTATCAAAATAATATGACAAAGTAATGTTGAGCTGAGAAGTCGAAAGATATCCTATTACATCGTGGTGTCCTTTCCAAGAAGACGCATAATTCAGAGCCGTAAAGCCCCACTTGTCTTCAGTATCTCTTCTTGATATAGAACTTAAAAGTTTTACTATTTCTAAGTGACCAAAATTTGCACTATGGTGCAAAGCTGTCCTTCCATTGATATCAGGTCGAAAATCATCAACCACACCCTGCAAAAGCAGTGCTACAACATCAGTGTGGCCTTTCCTTGAAGCCAAGATCAGCGGAGTTTCATGATTGATGTTAATATTTCTACGTTCATCATCATCTTTCATTAAAAACATACGGACTATTTCTTTGTGGCCATTTAAGGCGGCGTAGTGGATAGGTGAATTTTGTCCTATATCTCTTGTACCTGTTTTACCTCTCGGAAGAATAAATTCCACACATTTTGAACATCCGTCTCTAGAAGCAATATGTAATGGTGTCATTAGGTCATTATCGACAGCATCTACGTTGGCATCAAAATTACAAAGTGAAATGGCGATATTTCCACATTTTTTTTCTGAATGAGGATTCTGCTTTGTTTTGCAACCTTCACAAGCCAGATGAAGTGGGGAGCTACCATTTTTGTTTCTTTTATTCAAAGATGCTCTATGCTCAAACAGTAAATCGACTATCAACTGATATCTTTCTCTTGCGGCAAAATGCATTGGAGTCATGCCATCAATGTCAGATGCTGCTTTATCAGCTCCTACGTCCAATAAGACTTTTGTGATTTTCTTGTGCCCTTCAAGTGAAGCAAGATGAAGTGGAGTTTTGAGATCATTACTCTTAGCCTCTTTGTCAGCATTATGATCCAGTAGCAACTTAACTATTTCTAATGATCCATTCATTACGGCAAAGTGTAGAGGAGTGTATCCATCTTTTTCAGCAAGATCTATGCCAGGAAGAGGATCAGAAAGTAGTGATTCTACTATTGGGAACAAACCTCGTTTGCAGGCGATGTGCAAGGGGGTCGTGCCATTGATATCGGAACAATTTTTATTGACTCCAGAATCCAAAAGTATTTTAACAACTTCAACATGCCCATTCTCACAAGCGTAGTGGAGTGGTGTGTATTTCCGTTCATCACTTGCTTCTAAGGAAGCGCCGTGAGAAATTAACAATTTTAAAACCTTTGTCAATCCGTGGTAAGCAGCAATGTGCATTGGAGACCATTTATGGACCTGTTGGACATTTTCCAATTTGGAAAAAATCTTTACATTAGAATCTGCATCCAGAAAGGTTTTGATATTTTCTTTGGCGATTTTTCTCACTCCAGTCTCCAGAATTAACCTAACCAAATCTGTATTTCTCGACATAACAGCAGAAGAAAGAGGAATATTACAATGTGTGTCTTTCGATTCTATATTGGCTCCGTACAGGATGAGGAGTTTGACTCCTTCTATAAACTGTGTTCCTATTGCATAATTAAGAATAACTGTCGGGTAAGAGTAGAAATCTACAGTCCTATCCAAGAAAAGCTTTAAGAGATCTATTGATTTATTTGCAACTGCATCAAAAATAACTTTCGATCCTAAGAAACTTTTATCCTCCACCGTTGCCCCTTTATCTAGGAGTATTTTAATGAATTGTTTTGATGATTGATGAAAGGAAATTTCTAGAGGTGTACGACCATCCTCCCTCCTCACGTTGGGGTCAGCATTCTGGGCCAAGAGGAAATCCACCAACTTTGCGTTATTCCTCTCTATTGCCAAGTGTAATGCCGTTACATTATTACATCCTCTTCTATTGACATCATCCCCAAACGCTAGTAGGATCTTCATCACATCGATTTTTCCATTATGAGCCGCCCAATGGAAAGGTGTGTAGCAAACATTATCTTCAATATTGAAATTTGCCTTCTGAGATAGCAAATAGCCAACGATATCAGTATAACCCATTGCAGCAGCTTTATGCAGCACTGTCCGCCCAATCAAATTTTGTGAGTTCACTTCAGCCCCGTGTTCCACAAGAGTCTTCATCACACTGATTATCTCACTCTCTACGACAGGATATACTTTGGTTGTGTGATATTTTATTAATGCAAGATTGGTGTTTTTCGATAGCAGTGATTCAGTTGATTTTTGTTTGTCCTTTAAAATTGCAAGATATAATGGTGAATTACCATTTTCTCCTTTGCTATTAATATTTACACCATGTTGATTAAGAAGTGTCTTTATCATATGAAGGTTTTTACTTATCACTGCATAGTGAATTACAGTGTTATCTGTATTGTCTTTTATTTCTAAACTAGCATTTCTCGAAATAAGTAAATTTAGTACAGCTTCATTACCATTATTGGCAGCTAACATGAGAGGTGTGATGCCATTATTTCCTTTAACATCAACATAAGCTCCATAATCGAGGATTTTCTTTACCACCTTGATATTCCCTTTGCCTATTGCTAAATGTAAAGGGGCATTACCAATCTGGTCTCTTTTATGCACACTGCCATTCCTAGAAATTATTAACATTGCTAATCTTTCAACTCCGTATCCGGCAGCTAAATGTAAAGGTGTGTAGCCGTCGTATCCCCTACTGTTTATATCCACTCCATGATCAAGAAGTATTATAGCAATTTTTATATTGTTTCTTAATATCGCATAATGTAGAGGACCGTTATCGAAGTTGTCTTTCATCTCTAAACTGGCGTTTCTTGATATTAGAAAATTTACTACAGTCTCATCACCCCATGACCGAATTGCTAGAATGAGGGGTGTGTCACCGTTTATATCCTGGCTGTTAATATTTGCCCCGAAATCAAGGAGTACCTGAATAACTTTTAGGTTTTTTTCAACTGCTGCGTAATGAATAGGCGCTCTGTCATTATCATCTCTTTTATCAATGCTTGCATTCCTTGATAATAGTAAATTCACAATAGGTTCGTAGCACATTCTAACGGCAATGTGTAGTGGAGTTTTACCACCGAATCCCTTACTGTCAATTTCAGCACCGTTGTTAAGAAGTATCTTGACGACATTAAGTTTTCCATTCCATACTGCGTCATCTAAAGGAGCTTTTTTATAAATGTCTCTAACATACAAAGTTGCATTCCGTGATAAAAGTAAATTCACTATAGCCTCGTAGCCTTTTCCAGCAGCAATATGTAGAGGTGATGTACCATACATCCCTCTGCTGTTAACATCAGCACCATGGTCAAGAAGTATTTTGACAATATTTTCTTCACCGTTTTGTACTGCGAAATGTATTGGAGCTCTATCATTATTGTCTTTTATATTTACATTGGCATTCCTTGATAAGAGTAAAATAACTATAGATTCGTAGCCTTGAGCAGCAGCTATGTGTAGAGGTGTGGATCCATCTTTTTCCATACTGTTTACATTAACGCCACAATTGAGAAGTTGATTTATAATGTCAATATTTTTTTTTGCCACAGCGATATGTAATGGTATTGTGAAATGAATTCTTTTACTATTGATACCAGTCCTATGATCAATAATTAGTTTAACAACATTGAGCGTTCCATTCCTTAATGCGTAATGTATTGGTGTCTTATCATCATTGTCTCGTACATCTACACTTGCATTCCTGGACAAAAGTAAATCCACAATATTTTCTTGTCCCTTTCTTGCAGCAATATGTAGTGGTGTTTGGCCGTTACCTCCCTTACTATTGACGTCTGTCCCATGATCGAGAAGTATTCTAACTGTATCAAGTGTTCCATTATCCACAGCATAATGTATTGCAATACTATCATTATTGTCTCTTATGTCAACACTTGCATTCCGTGATAACAGAAAATTTACAATTGAAGAATAACCCCTCCGAGCAGCAATGTGTAACGGCGTTTCACCTAAACTTCCCCTGCTATTTACATCAGCCCCTTGATTTAGGAGTGCAGCGATTTTGTTCAAGTTTTTATTTGTTACAGCAATGTGCAGTGGAATATTATCACGCTTTGTAAATTTTTGGATATCCCGTGTGCATGATAAAAATGAAAAATGCTGAACATCCTCTTCGACCTCAGTTTTAATGTTAGAACTTTTGGTCCCATTCCTGTTGGAAGCAGTCGTTTGTAACAAGCCATTGGATTCTTCCTTTTTTTCATCCACCTCCTGAAAAACATAATATATTAAAACTAGATATTGCAACACATTTAATATATACATCTAATTTTCTTTTTGTTTATTATTTAAAACTATTAAATCGTTAATTAGTTTTCATCTTTGATATTTCTTTATATTCTATTTCTCTTTCAACTCTGCCGACAGATCCATGAATAATAAAAAGCACTATATATTTAATAACATAGTAATGTTTATGTAGAAAGGATAAATTATTGAGATATTTTCATTAAGAAACATAACTTGACAGAGTTCGAAGAGAAATGACCAGAACATGCTCAACTGATAGATTTTTCTGCTTAATTATTTTTTAAATTAAGATTACCCACTTTATAGAGGCTGAGAGTGCCACGGAAGGTTCTCATGATCCCAGGGTCAATCCACCTCTGATAAAACATAATGAATAAGTACTTGCCCTGAGTTGGACTAGAACCGGATGCCAGTATTGGAAGTCAGTGCCTTACTCACTGTGCTACCCCACTCCCTCTATAGTATATTAAATCATCTTGAAAATTGATTTTGAATATCAACAAGTGCAAAATAGTATAATTTTTCTATATAGTCCATTGTCTTCCATTATTTTAATTAGTTAACAAGTTACTGTTAGATATTATATTTGTGAAAAAAAACGCATACAGGACTGTTTTTATCAAATTATTAACAGGCCTCTAATAATTATATTCCTGAATAGTTTCTTTTTTTTTGGTAACCTAAAACTTTTTTATTTTATATGTTTCGTTTATTTTAATTAAATTACTTTGTTTAATGAAATACATTTTCTGTAAATAATTTAAATGTTTTATAATTAAATACACTATATTCTAAAAACACAAAATAGGTGATATTTTAAATAATGTTTTTATAAATAACTAGCTTTACCCGGCCAGGCGCTGCTGTGGCTTAGCCTGGCAAAATGAAAAAGAAAGAAAATAGAAAGCACATATGAGTAGATTAGTAGCAAAGGACATCTGTCATTTTTAAAAAGTTGGGAAACAAATTTGTCTGTAAAATGGCTTCAATTTAAACTAATTCTAATGATTTTTTTTCTCATGATTCAAATTGAACATTCATAATCATCTGAATGAATACGCCGTCATTCATAATCATCAGAAACAGTCTGAGTTGAACTTATAAAACTAAATATTTTTTTATTTTTTATTTATTTAGACATATAATATTCTGTCACAGGGACAATAAAACTAAATTAATAAAAAAAACGTATAATAGTATTGACCTACATAAGGAGAATCATAGAACTTCTTCAAATGATAATTTCAATTACTGTAGCAATTATAAAAGTTTCGATTAATCAATAAAAAGTAAAAAAAAAAAAAAAAATTGCTTGCCTACCTTCTGTAGTGAGGAAGCAAAAGGAAACAACCTTTTCTGAAGAGAAACCAGTAAATGTTTAAAACTCAATAACTCTGCAACGAACCGTCCGATTTCGATAATTATTTTTGTCAGCAATTCAGAAATCTTTCATATAAATGTGGGTATTATCAATCAAAAATTGTGTACTTTTTTAGTTTTCGGCAAATAGAATATTGAATTCATCGTAACATTTTTCAGCTTGTTTTCGGGAAAGTATGTTATACACATAAATTAAAAGGGTTTCAAGGTGAAGACTTTAGCCAAGTTTTGTTATAATCGGTAAAGCCGTTTTGGCGCTACAGTTTATAGCGACACATTTTTTGCGGTTTTGAACCGAAAAACATTTGCATTTTTATTTTGTTTACATATATAAAATTATCGTAAGACAGAAGTGCTATGCCAGAAACCTTCCCAGGAGTGTACGGAACAACTTCCCAAAGTTTCATGGCGATCGGTTGAATGGTTTAGTAATGCACTAAGGACAAACAGACGGACAGACAGACATACATTCATTTTTATGTATATAGATAAGTAAGAACACTGCCGTTAAGAACCCTTTTTATCAAATTACTAGCTGGCCTAAATGTTAGTCAGAAAACAACTGATATAATAGTGTGGAAGTATGTTAATGCAATGTATTATGAGTTGGAAGAATTCCTTTTCCTTTTCTTGGTCGAATTAAAGTAGCTAATTCATAAAAATAAACCAAAACATTGTTACAACTTACTGTAGTCTATATCTTTGCTCATAATGGTCCGATTTTTATATATATTTTTTTATTTTGTAGGAAATTTTGTAGCCTTTCAATCATTCATGGAATTAATCCACAGTAAATTGCATACTTTTCCGGTTATTACTAAATTAAGTTTTTTGGTTTTTCTGAGACGTTAGTTGTGCTTAGAAAATCTTTAAAATTATGATAATTGGAACTAATGAAGTTATGGCGAAATAAAACACCAGTGAGAAAAAATATATTATATTTATTTATGGAATTGTTATATACTTGTTTTTTTTTTAATAAATAAAAACAATTTGATGCCATCTTAGTGTTGTTTTTTAAAATTTCAGAAATATCATTTTCCAAATCCACTTCACTCCAATGTTCTTTATAGGCACAACGCTCAGTCTAGATGTACATCACCATGATATTAACCATGCAGGAAAGAAACTCAAGGGATGCCCCATTTGTCAGTAGGTTTTTATGTTTCAGTTCTGATTATCCGATTTGTAGTTTTACTGGGCTGATATCTTTTATTCTTTTCAATTGCAACTGCACTCGATTTGCAACAACAGAGAGCTGGAAATTATAATTTTTCATAAGAATCAGAATCCATAACAACAGTGTCAGAAAGATTTCCTATCGCAGGTATAAGGTTGGGCTCAAACCGAAAATGAAAAACTGTAAATTTAAAGACTTTAAAAGGCAGTTACATAATCTTAAAAATTGTCAGAGTTATCCTTTGCTACACAGAAATTAGAGATTAGGAAAGTAGGTTTCGAAAAAGGTATGTGTAAAAATGATAATTAATATTTTATAACAGTTCTTTGAAAACAATATTAAAAGCAATAATAGTGGTTAACTAGTTGACTGTCGTGAATAATGAGGAGAAGAATAGTTGGGGTGATCAGTCAAATAAGAAGGCAAAAATAAATGATAATATTTATTTTGTTATTTGCCAAATGACAAAATAAATATTATCATTTATTTTTGCCTTCTTATTTGACTGATCACTCCAACTATTCTTCTCCTCATTAAAAGCAATAATACATAAATTAAAATAGGCTATATTTTTGTAAATAATGTTCCGATTTCCCTGGTGTTTTTTCATTTTGTAGGAAAGTCAACAAATTTTCAATTAATAATGGGTCTAATCAAGAAAAAAAATGTATACTTTTTCAGTAATTCACAAATAATTTTTTTTTTCATTCATAACTTTTCCCCTGAAATTTCGGGTGGATGTCACTATGATTAACCAATACCCCATTTAGTACCCTTTCGTTCGATACCTCATTCATCAAAATACATCGCTCCTGAGAGCCGGAAAAGGGATCGTTACGGCAAAAAAATGTCGTATTGTATTATATGATTAACACTTGTCTAAAAATTCGTGGTTAGCTTCATCTTATCGTAACCTACATTTTTTTTATATACGAAAATTCTCGAAAATGGGACGTTTTTAATTTGGAGATCAGTAAACTTAGTCAATTTAAAGAGATAGTAAAAACTCATGAACGCACATTTGCTATTATATATATAGATGATTATCATCAAAATATTATAATATGGTCGCACTCTTTTCTTCATTTCGTAAAGAGACAAAAATATCATCAGTAGGTGGTATTGTAGCAAATGTACCAATTTCTCTAAGACGTTGAAACGTGGAGCTAACGCTAGATTTGTTTGGTAATCTATTCGAAATCGCCTGGCATATTCATGACCGGCAGTATTGGCCCCACCATTGCGAAAACCGTATACAAACACCATATCGGCATATTCACATTATATTTTCCGACGTAATAAAAATAAAGTAGTTAGAATAATGAATGTAACAGAGAACTAAGAAATAAATAATAATAGCGGCGTATTAATGAAATAAACATAATCAAAATAAAGTAACATAAGAAATGAAAAATATTAATCTTAGAATAAAATGTAAAACAGAGAAAAGGAATATGAAAGTAATGTAAATAATTCATGACAGCGATAATCTTTAGGTGTGAATATCTCAGCGTTTGCTGACATACCTTAAGAGGAAATTTTTTTCTTGTTTTGAGGTCCGTAGTTCATTTTTGCAGTTTGGACACTTAACCCTGAAACACCGTGTGTTGTGAAAATATATATATATATATATATATATATAATATATATATAGATATATGAAGAGGATCCCACTTTAGACTCTAGCCTAAGTCCCCAAACTGAGACAGACCAGCCTATCAACACCAACGTGTTAAAATAATGAGAATATAGGCCAAATGGCCCAATATTATTGTAGGTCGCCTTTTTGTTTTCGATTTTTTTGATCAAATTATTTTACGATTCAACACTAACGGATACAGGATTTCATTTTGGGCGAAGGAGGTTTCAGCCTGAAAGAATTTTTTTTTTTTTTTAAAAATAACGATAATTACTTTGGAAAAAAAAGGAAAGAAACTAACTACCTATACCAAAACGTGTTTAAGTTATTCTTTAAGTTTTGTTAAATCTAATTACTCGAACAATAATACTTTTAGAGTTATTTTTCATTTTTTATTTTTTTTATTTTTTTTGGGCAGAGTAATATTTTACCATTTTGGGGGGCGCTTCATCCCGAAATACATAGTATAAGCCAGATCCGCCTGTGTGATTCAAGTGGAAAGGAAATAGATATTCATGAGTTTTAGTACCTCGTTAAATTGTTCAATTTAATAAGAAAACAACTCCATTTTTGAGATTTTCTTCGAGATAAAAAAGTTGTAAATATTCAGGACGCAGTCTTTTTTAAAATTTTTATCACCCATAATATGTAGAACAGTCCACGGGCGGATTTACGAGGGGCTTTCGGGCTGAAGCCCTCCCCTCCCCCAAAAATGGTAAAATGTAACCATATTTTATGGTATAAAATATTAAAAAATCATGTCTTAAAGTATTATTGCTCGTTTAATTACATTTAATAGGACTTCAAGAATCACTTAAATGCCATTTCATATAGGTAGTTAGTATCTTTCTGTTTTTCTAAAGTAATTATCGTTACATATATGAAAAGAAAAAGCTTCCGGACTGAAGCCCCCCCCAAAAATTAAATCCTGGATCCGCTAGTGGAACAGTCGAATAACTTCCACCATTAATTCATCAAATTATTGGGACCTAACTACAACAAGGCAAAAATAAAAATTAATATATATATATATA